ATTTACAAAATTGACTTCCGTTGATGGTATCCGAATAAAATTTTTTAGAATATTAAGAGATATTCTTTGAATACAAAATAATAATGGTGTCAACTATTTCCAGCTTACAGAATAACTTAAAAACTAACTGATCGACTTTTCATATTTTATTTAGAAATAGGTATAGTACTAGTATAAACTGTATAATTAAAAAAGAATTAATTTGAAGTGGAATTTGAAGGTTGCAACAAACTTGCGATCGGCTTGCAACTAATAGCGTATTTCACTGGCAGAATCGGTGCGCACTCAGTGCACATTAAAGCTGTTGTACATTAACCTAATCTGACTGTAAAAGTGAGAGATCTCAGTTAATAAAATACCCAATGTATATTTTATCAAATATCACAATAAAATGTATTAAGGATTTCGTGGTTTAATTTATTTCTATATTTTTATTAAACATACATTTTTATGTCGATTTGTGTACAACAGCTTTAAAGTGCACTGAGTGCGCACTAGCTCTGCCAGTGAAATACGCTATAATATAGAACCAGCTTAAGCCTTCAAACAGGTCCCCTGATCAAAATTGACGAATACCAAGCATCAATTTTGATCACGTGACCTGTTTGACGCTCGAATCGAAAGTCGAGCGTCAGCATGAAAATACAACCTAATGCGTATGCGTGGTGGAACATGCGACAGAGAGAGAGCAGCCCTGATTGGCCGCTTGAGTTATTTTGAAGGCGACGAGATGCCGCGTTTTTTTTGCAAGTATGGCATAGTCGCCCGGTTCACTTGGCACGGCAGACGCGTTTCAGTCTTATCGGTGTCTTCAAAGTAAAAGCGCGGTCGCATGATTTAACTGAAAATTAAGTTACAGTGTTAGTGTGTGTGTGCGCGCGTGTGTGTGTGGTGTGTGCGTGCGTGCGTGTGTGTGTGGTGTGTGCGTGCGTGGTGCGTGCGTGGTGCGTGCGTGGTGCGTGCGTGGTGCGTGCGTGGTGCGTGCGTGGTGCGTGCGTGGTATGGCGCGTGTGCGTGTGCGTGCGTAGTTAAATGTAACGAACATGTACATTAAATTTAATAAATTTTCATGTAAAGTACATTAAATTTTATGTACATGTTCACAAATATACTTTTCAGTTATAAATATATTAAATTTAATATATCACATGAAATTAAATTTGTTCCTAAGCAAGGTGGAAGGTGGGATAGATCTCGTTACTTTGCGTATTAAATTTTATGTACATGTTCACAAATATACTTTTCAGTTATAAATATATTAAATTTAATATACCACATGAAATTAAATTTGTTCCTAAGCAAGGTGGAAGGTGGGATAGATCTCGTTACTTCGCCTTAACCTTGGTTACAGGATATTGGTGTATATCAGTGTATACCTTTGTTTTGATCTCCACGCGAAGCGAGTTTTACACCACCTCTCCCCCCTGTCAAGGGGCTCATGACTTTCCATGCGAAGTGAGTTAGGACATTTAGAGGCGCTTTCCATTTAATAACACAAGTCTACACAAATATCGTTCTGTCCTTGGCTACGTTCCGTTTCACGCATGATGCTCATGATGCATCATTTATCCTCGTTATTCACCGAATATTAAACAAGGATAAATGTTGCATCATTCGCATCATGCGTGAAACGGAACGCAGTCTTTGTCACTCTCTGAATGTCAAGAAAAATAGAACGACGCTTGTGTCGACTTGTCATCAAATGGAAAGCACTCTGATAAAAACGAAACGATAGAAAATATAAAGTTTATCCTTTAAAACTTGTTCCAGATGCTCTGTCATGGTAGCTGCTTTGGCCTTGGATTGGCTCCAATGGGTTTGATTAGACAAGACGTTTATGAACATCGTACGTGGTTGACGATATGCCGGTTGCGGTAAGTTTAAAATTCTTAAAACTCTACAAGAAGAAAATAAATAATTTTTGTCTCTTGCTGTTTTTCTGTAAAATTAATAGTACTTTAGTAAAAAAATTATTGAAGACCAATATTTGGCGACCTTTAGTAATTAATCTTGTTAAGTATTGCTAAAATTGCAAAATGGTAGAGAATTTTTCAACTTAGTTTAGTCCGCTCTATCTATGCATGAAACATTTGGCGGTCATTCTAGGACATCCTGTATATTGAATTTTGTATGCAAATATGAGTAATTAATATTGAAGAACATAATTGATATGTAACATTGTGACATATAATTCATGATAGTAATTAATTACTTCTATTTTCTCTCTTGTAAATTTATTATGACTTTTTTCATTCATGGAATTAAATGGATTGTTAAATAGAATACGATTAAATCTTTTATTTTAATGATAGTCGTATTTCTAATAAAAGATTTGTACGAGAATTACATAATTTTTTTTATATTCTCAACAGTCTGCCTAATCTTTTCATATATTTTCAATATTACAACATAAATTAATTATTTTTTCGCTCGTATAACTTACAACAAACTTAATAAATAGTAAACCCAGGTCAATACACGAGCTATAATTAGGTGTAACAAATATTTATTATTCACAAATTATAATCTTTCGACGATAAGTTTTAACGATATCATTGAAACTTATTGTTTCTTGTCTGTACGGTTTTCTCTTTCTTTGAATTTAAAGAAAATGCGATATAGACCTTATATTTATGTTAAAATATTATGAATTTATGAATAATACCTTCTTTAACACTCACAATAATTGCTTTCTATTTGAATTTCTTATCTTTTAATTTAATTAACTCAATTACATTATACTTCGTAATTTTATTTTAATTGAAATTACGAATTACATTGTAATTTAATTAAATAAAGGACCGCATCACAATATAATTGAATTACGACGTAATTGAATTACTTTGTATGTACAATTCCTTATGGATTAATTCAATTGTAATTCTGCACAACACTGCCTAATATTTAGATAATGTATTTATATTTTGACCGTATATTTGAAAAACTCAATTAATAATATAATGTAACTGCCTATTACGGTCCGAGCTGGATCTTCGTTGCTTTAAATAATTCAATCTTGAATTACTAATATATCCTATATATGTACTTGCATATATACCATATTGTAGTCTTTTTCAAACTGCGCGCCGAATTGTTTTTCCGGACTAAATAAACGCAATTAAAACTACTCTAGTAATCGCGAATTAAATTGACAAGCAATTTTTTTTTTAATAATTTGATG